TGGCTGAGCACGGTTCGAGTCCCAGACCTGGCGGCTTGCTTTCTCACTTTCTCTCTCTCGCTCTCATCTTTCTCCAGCAAAACTGATGTGAAAAAATAACAAATAAATAAAGGACCAGAAATTGGCATAATGGCTATGTTGCTGGACTCCCATGAGGTCGACCATGGTTCGATTCCCAGACCCAGTGGCTTAAACTCATGCTGGGCACATGTGCATGCATGCCCAAGATCCCAAGAGGAGAATAGAGGAGAAGGGGTTATAGTGTAGCCATCCTCCTGGGGGGATGATTTCTTGCTTTCTGTCCCTCTGTTTCTGTCTTTCTAGGAAGCGCAAAACCTCTCCAAATAAATAAATAAATAAATAATTTAATTTTATTTGTTATTCTTTTTAATTAGACTGGAGAGAGATGGTGGCAGGAGGGAGGGCAAGGGAAGTGAGAAAGCTAGCCACTAGGTTGGGGACTTGAACCAACCACGTGGGAGTTCAGCACTTTAACCACCACACCATCTGCTAGCCCTCTCCATAATTATTTTCATCTTGTAAAATGGAAATGTTGTACCCATTAAATAATAACCACCACCCCCATTCCCTCCTACCCCAACCCCTAGCAACCAATATTCTATTTTCTGCCTCTATTATTTTTTTTGAGAGGTTTTTGCTATAAGCGTATGTGCTCATCCAAAAGACAGATAGAGACAGAAAGACAGAAAGTGAGAAATCACCCCCCAGGGGGGATGGCCACACTGCAATCCCTTTTCTTCCATTCTCTTCTCGGGATCTTGAGCATGCATGCACACGCGCCCAGCCTGAGTTTAAGCCACAGGATCCGGGACTCAAACCACGGGCGACTACATGGGAGTCCAGTGACACAGCCACTATTCCAATTGCTGGTCCCACTGCCTCTGTGATTTTGACTACTCTATCTCATAGAGGTGAAATCATACAGCATTTTTCTTTGTTTGATTGGCTTCCTTCACTTAGCATCATGTCTTCGAGGTTCATTCATTTTATAGCATGTCAGAATTTCCTTCTTTTTTAAGGATGAATGAGATTTCATTCATAGTTCAAGTCCTGGACCCAGCAGCTTGAGGAACACAACGGATGTGAGTGTGCGTGCACGTATGCCCACAATCCCCAAAGGAGGGAGAGATGGAGATGGATTCACATGTATGCCAGTCCCACGGTGGTACAGGTGGCAGTGTGCCGAGCTGCAATGCAGGAAGCCACATAGCTGACTATATGTTTGTACCTCCTGGAGCCCCAGAATATGCTAAGCATGTGTCCAGGTGCCCAAGATCCTGATGAGGGCTGGGGGGAGGGGATAGTGGCGTGACCAGACCACATCAAGGGTGCTTGTCTCTCTCTCACATGTATGCATGCACTTTCATGAATAAATAAACTTTTTTTCGAGAGGGATTGCACACTTGCTGGAGAGAAAAAGGAAGTAAGAAAGCATCTCCCATTGGGGAAGGTCACGCCAAAATCCACTCTCCTCCACTTCTCCCTACTTTGGGGATTTGGGGCACACACACACATGCTCAGCATACCTCTCTTTTCTTTTAAGAATTATTAAAAAAAAAAAAAAGAATTATTTATTTAGGGACCAGCAGATGGCATAATGGTTATGTCCCTGGACTCCCACATAGTCAACCACAGTTCGAATTTCAGACCCGGTGGCTTAAAACTGACATCAGGCAACTGTGCATGCATGCCCAAAATCCCAAGAGGAGAACGGAGGAGAAGGGATTGCAACGTGGCCATGCCCCCCCCAGGGGGGGGGGATTTCTCACTTTTTGTCTCTGTTTCTCCAGCACATATATGCACCCTGTAGCAAAAATCTCTCTCTAAAAAGAAAGAATTACTTAGTTATTATTATTATTATTTTAATTTGCTATAGGGCATGCATACTCACCTGAGAGAGACAAAAAGAGAAAGAAAAAAAAAAAAAAAAAAAGAAGAAGCTGGCTGATCCAGGATTCAAACTGTGATTGGCCATGTGGGAGTCCAGCACCTTAACCACCACACCACCTGCTGGCTCCTCAGCGTGGCTTTCAGCTGCCATGTCGGGACTTAACCCACACAGCCATCTATTTGGGATCTAGATGCTTTAACCACCATGCCTCTTGTTGGCCCTAAACAAACTTATTTTAAAAGTTAAAAAAAAAAAAGGAGCCATCCCTTAGCCTAGTGGTTAGGGAAGCTGGATCCCACATAGCTGACTTGTTTGAATTCTGGCCTGGTGGCCTGAAAAACCCACATGTGTGTACACGTGTATCTAAGGTCTCAACAGGATGGAGACATGGAGAAGAGATTGCAGTGTGTCCACGTCCGGTTGGGGCTGCTTCCTCTTTCTTCCTCTTCCTCTCTCTCTCTGTGTCTCTCTCTTGCAATGAAAAAGAATGAATTAATTCTAGAGATACTCAGGACGTACAACCAATAGCACTTCCTATCTGGTTTCCCTACGCCCATACTTACCCCCAACCCTTCCCTTATCTATTCCAACAAATGAACTAGAGTGATCCTTTTATTTTTACAGTTGTTTTTTTGTTTGTTTTTGCTATAGGACATGTCTACTCATCAGAGAGACAGAAAGCAAGAAATCACCCCCCAGGGGAATGTCAATGCCACAGTCCTTTCTCCCCCATTCTCTTCTCAGGATTTTGGGCACACACACACACACCCACAATGTTTCAAGCCCCCGGGTCCAGGACTTGAACCACAGTTGACTACGTGGGAGTCCAATGACATAACCATTACACCATGTAGTCTCAAGTGATCCTTTTATTATTTATTTATTTATTTAAAGAATTTTGTCTTAGGGTGCATGTTCTCTCTGGAGAGAGACAGAGAAAGAGAAAGTGAAAAATCACTCCCCAGAGAAGATGGCCATGCCGCAATCCTTTCTCCTCCATTCTTCTCATGGGATTTTGAGCACATATGCACACGTGCCCAGCATGATTTTCAAGTCACTGGATCCAGGACTTGAACCACCATCAGTCATACGGGAGTCCAGCTGCCTTAACCACCACACCACCTGCTGTCCCCAGAATGATCCTTTTAGACCTAAGTCAGAGCACGTCACACTTGGGCTCAACACTCTCCAATGGTTCATGTCACTCAGAGTCAAAGCTCAAGTCTCAGTAATGTTCAGCACTTTCTGGCCTTGGCCCCCTCTCCTGCTACTTACTCATCCTTCACTAATTCCACGCTAGCCACGTTCCTATCCTCCAACAAAGTAGGATCAGTCCACCTTTATTTAGCTGAAACCCTTTACCTAGACATCCACTTGGCTCAGCTCTTGGAGTCTTTGTTCAAATGTCACCTTCTCAGTGAGGCCTACCTGATTATCCTGCTGATACTGTAATCTGCTGCCAGCACCTCACCAACTCCTGAGTCCCTTTATTCTGCCCTACTTTTTCCCTAGGTCACTTTTTACCTTCCAACATATTAGATAATTCACTTACATTATGTATAATGCTTATCTATCACATCTACATGCTAGGGCACACTCCACAAATGCAGAAGTCTTTAGTTATTTATTTATTATGGTTTTTTTTTTTTTTTTTTTTTTGCCAGAGAATGCCTGCACTGGCCAAAGAGAGGGAAAGTGAGAACCTGCCCCACACTCCCAGCAGGGATGGCCACACACTGCACTCCCTTCCCCTCCATTCTCCTCTCAGAATCATGCACACATGCCCAGCATGATTTTCAAGCCACTGTGTCTGGACTTGAACCATGGTCAGCCATGTGGGAGTCCAGTGCTGTAACCACTATGCCACCTGCTGGCCCTGAGATCTTTGTTTTTTTTTCACTGACATCCTAGGTTCCTAGAACATGAGACATTCAATGCATATTTGTGGACTAAGTGAACAAACAATTTAATTACCAGTTTGGATGTGGGGGCAGACAGAAACACTAAGCAAGATGCCCAAGTTTCGGGAGCTGGAGTATCGACAAGAGTCTAGGGGCATGGAATTGTTTTAAAAGCAGGAGAGATCTCAGCTGGAGACCAGACATGGAGTCATCAGCAGCTGAGTTGGAGGTTGATCCACAAGAGTAGAAGAAACCAGGCAGAAAAGGTAAAGAGATAGGGCCAAGATGGACACCAACCTTCAAGTAAAAGAATAGGGAAAGGAAGATGGCAGATGCATAGCCAGAGACAAAAGAGAAAAGCAGAGGCATGCTTGTCACAGGAGCTTATGGAGGAGACTTTTTTTCTTTCTAATATTTTCTTTATTCATGTATGCATGAGAGAGAGAAAGAGAGAGAGACGCCCCTACAGGGTCACATGGCAATTTCCTTCGCCAGTTCTTCAGCACATTGGATCTTAGATACTTGAACATATGCCCTGAGTATTTTAGGCTGATCAGGTCAGGGATTCAAACCAAGGTCTCTATGTGGGATCTGACTTCTCATAAGCAGTGCATTTTGTCACTGTGCCATGGAGCCAGCCCTGAAGGACACTTTCAAGAAGAGGAAAGAGGTTGAGTTAGGCAAGTACTGGAAGCTGACAACTGTCACTAGAAAATCCTAGATAAGCCAGCATGGTAGTTCAGGGGGGGCTGGATTTCACTGGGTTCAAGTCCCAGATCCAGGGGCTCAAAACACACCTGGTATGTGTGCATGCATACCCAATACCCAAGAGGAGAGCAGAGGAGAAGCGATTGTGGTGTGGTCATCCTTGCTCGGGGGAGGAGACTGCTTTCTCATTTTTTTCTCCCTCTCCCTCTCTCCTTCTGAGTAAGCACACATGCACATGCCCTATTTGGGATGGGGGTAGGGGTCGGGGATTGAGGGTGGTAACTAGCCAAACGCATCAGCATCAGGTCAATAGTTGGTGAAGAAGGGTGAGATCAACAGCACTAGGATTCAAACCCTAGGACAGGTCGTTTACGCCTCCGGACATCAATTGTTCCACGTTTAAAATGGGGATAGCACCATCTATAGCTCACAAACTCAGGAGGCTGACGGTTAAAGAAGACAAAGGAAAACGCAAGGCACACAGTGGGCGAATTAGCTCCATTCTGCCAATGGGTGACACAGACACAGATTGAAATATTGGGCAGTTCAGAACCAGTGCAGGCCGTTGTTATAGTCCAGGTTGAACAATAGTGAAAGCGAAGCTGTAGGCACGGGATGGGTCGGGCCGCACTCTAGGCTCCTGGTGAGAGAGACAGAAAGTTAAAGCCTCTGCACTGGATAGTCCCGTCCCAAGATCAGCAAAAATTAAAGGTTTGTCTCTTCCTCAAACCCTCGCACACCTGGCTGTCTTTCCCTCTTGTGGCGCGGGAAAAGTCTCCCCAAGCTGGACAAGAAGCACCCGCCCACAGCCAGCGCTTTCCCTTTCTCAGCCAGTGGGGGTAGGATTATGCCTGGGCAACGCCGCCTTCCGCCCCTAGCAACCACTCACCTGCTTTTCTCTTCCTATAGGCTAGCAAATTTCCTTTCTTTTACTTATTGGTCCGCGTAACTTTATTGCAACCAATCAGTGGTAGCCACGGGACTCAACTCCCACACGACTTGGGGGTGATCAAGTAGAAGACGAGTTCTTGTTTGGGCGTCCAGTTCTCCTAGAGAGCACCTTATTTGTTACGCTTGTCACTGTCCCCGGAATGAGGTCCGAAACAGTGTATTTCCCTTGGATGTGTAAAGCGTGTCCGGGGCATACGTCCCCCTCCGAGTGGTACGGCCCACACGCTACCCCGCCTCCCGTCCGCTCTGAGGGCAGGAGCACTCTGCGAGTAGGGGCCACTCAGCGGCAGAGGCCGTACCACCTGTGACCAATAAGTAGGGGCCCACCCTCTCCCGTTGCTCTAGTTCGTTTCGACCACCCCAGGGCCTCTTTTTCAGCCCTTCTGTGCACATGAACCCCAGATACAGCGGTGAGACCAGTGCCTTCGGCACCACGGAGGGCGCGCGGCGTGAGCATGGGAAGGGCGCGCTTGGTACGGTCCACGCCGCGCCCCGCGCCGCCGGAAGTGAGGTGTCTAACCCCTGAAGTTCCGGTTCGCAGGGGGTGGGGAGTGTTGTTAGCCCGAGCGGCCGCCGCAGTCGCGGGGATTGAGCGGGCTCGCGGCGCTGGGCTCCTGGTGAGTGAGACGAAGTCGGGTCAGTGTTGCGGTTGGGGTCGGGACCTGTCCCTTTCCCTCGAAGTCCCCGGCATCGGCGCACCCCCTGAGCCCCACCGCCCGCTTTCGGCCTGTCAGCTGGCGGTAGACCTCAGGCGCCGGGGGGCGCCCCCTCCCCGGC